GCGCCCGACCCGCGGCGGTGCCCGGCGGCGGCGGCGGCGGCGTCGGCGGCCTGGGCGCGGTGCAGTGAGCGGAGCTGCCACTGGGGTCAGGGAGCAGGCACCAGGAAACGCGGCGGCCGCGGAGCTGCTCGCTCACACACACACGCACACACACACTCGCACACACAGCTCCTCCCGCTGCCTCGCACTTCGCCCCCCCGGGCACGGAGGGAGGGAGGATTCGCTGCTGCGTTTCCCAAGTGCGGCAAAGCCTCCTCCGCCGAGCCGGGAGGGGAGGGGAGGCCTCCGAGAGCGGCGGCTCCGTGCCGGGGTCAGGGCGGGGAGGCCGGGGCCGAGACCCGCAGGGCGGCCCCTGCCCGCGGCTCTGCCTGCAGCTCGGCATCTCGCGGCGCTGCGGCTCTTTTCCTCCGCTCGGGGAGAGAGAAAACACCAACGTCGCCAATTCACACGCCAAAAAAAAAAAAAAAAAAAAAAAAAAAAAGAAAGAAAGAAAGAAAGAAAAAGAAAAACAACCCCCCCAAAAGGTTTCCACAGGCTGCGCACCTTTCCTGGCTGGAGAGCACTGCAGTGCTGTGTTCTGCCGGAGATGAGCTAACCTCGGCAGCCGGGAGAAAAACAGAAACGGCAGCGTGGGCTTGTCATTTCAGGCTGAACATTGTCTTAGGGCAACTGGGGCTTTTCTACACAGAAGCGAAGGAGGCAGAATCAGAGAGGTTGCTGGTGGCTTTTTTGGCTTTTTTTTTTTTTTTTTTTAAAAAAGCTACAGCATTTGTGTCAGCAGCCACAATGGTGACAAAGTAGAGAAGCGAAGGCAGATGTGTTTGTTCCTTCGCTTCGAGACAACAAATGAGAAGAGGACTTCCAGCCATATATCCATAGTGCAAAGAAGGAAAAAATCCTAAGAAGTGGGCAGAAAAATGAGAGCCTGGTAGGAACAGGCTTCTAAGAGCATGCTGTGTCCTATAAATTTCCAGTAAATAATTTCGGCTCAGGCCAACCTTCGCCTATGCATGGAAACTAGAGGGGATTTTCTTTGTTGCTGAAAACAATGAGAAGGGTCCGGGCATTGTCGGACAGAAATCCACCAGGCTGGGTTGTCCTGTTTGGAAGGACAAGAAGAAAAATCAACCTGAGAAAGGAATTGAACCACATGGGTTGTTTGTTTTTTTTTCCTAATTTTATGTTAGATCTTTCTGATCTTTTATTAGCAATCTTTTATTTTTATTAGATCTTTTGTTTTTCCTTGCAACAGAAGTAAGCACCACAGACCAAAGGAACAATCCTGTTTCAGACAAAATGGTCCGCAAATCAAAGAACATCTCCAGGGAAGCCTTGAATGCAATGAAGGCTGAGGCCGTAGCTTGCCACATATTTTTAGCTGACTGAAACCGAGGAAAAAACAGCAACGCAGCACTCTGCCCACCCAGCCAGCCTGTGTGAGCAGTGAGCCCCTCTGGGGACACGCAGCCAGCGCCAGGGCACAGCCTCCCCTTCTGATTCACCTCCCAACTGCACTAATGCTTGTGCTGGGACAGAGCCGGGAACGGGATGAGCAACCGAGGACACAGAGAGGATAGGAGAGCTTCACTGCTACTGATGCCAGGTAAATATAAAAATACCAGGGGATGTGAGTGGGTTTGACCCAGAACCTGCTGAATCCCTTCTACGCAGTCACAGAAGCAAGGCTTTTCCTTCCTTTCTAGCACGTCTAGAGCCCCCAGCACTATAACAACCAACGAGCTCTTAGCACAGCAGAAAAGAGAGGGAAGAAGTATTGGTAGGTGAGAGAAAGCTCAAAGAGCTCTGTGATAACTTGTAACAGAACACAGCAAACTCCTTGTCTTCTGCTCTGAGAACAGAGTGCTTTCCAAGCACCTACTTCTAGAAATGCACTGGCCCTAGAGTTGCTATCAAAGGGAAAAATAGCTTTCTTACATTGACTGAAAGGTGTTCAGAGGAAAGGAGTTCTATTCGCCACCTTTACTTTCAAATAAAAAGAGCAGCTCAAAATGCAAGTATGTGAGTACAAAGAAAACGCCCTTATTTTGGCTGGGATGCAGACCTACTCATATAAGTTTGACAGGATTTTGGAGATACATTTGAAAAATCAAAAAGTAACCAAGCTGCCTACCATGAGTGTCACAGGACTGATTTTTCTAGTTGGATGAAGTCCAAAATAAGCAGCTTTTGCTTACTTTAATACTTCCTACTTGTAATCTTAAAGGTGTATATGGTACACAAAGCCTCAGACATGGTCAGAGTTTGCCCTGGATTTTGTTCTTTCACTTTTACAAATCCATGCCAGGTATCATCAAATGCACAGATGTACCTGATGGATGTTAAAAATTAGAACATACTACAATCTCATGAGATTTTCCAAAATCTATCATGCTCTGATTGCAAAAACTCTTCCCCAACTCTTCCCTGTTTGTGAAGCAATACAAGAAAGGTATCATTTACAGCATGTTCCTCAGATCTTGCTCCTTCTATAATACAAACTTTTGAGTCATCTTTTAAAGAAAAGGGATAAAAAAGAAAAGGAAATAAAACAGGCAAATTTTGCAACTGCGTATCATGACACTGATCTGTGATAAAGGACTGTCCTGACACAGACCCTACCCAGCTAGGATGCACTACATCTTTTGGTGCCTTATCATGCTCCATGACTTGTAAAGCTACTCTCAAAGTAAGGCATCTCAGGAATATCCCATCATCTGACCCAAGGAGGCAAGACTTGACTGCAAGGCCATACCTCACAGTAACGAATGATCAACAACGCTATCCTGAGGGTGTTCCTACAACTCTTCCACTCCTCTATCAGTTGTTTTTTCTTTGCTTCCATTGTTTAAGGACACAAACCACACAGGGAAAAAAGAACCTGTTTATAAAAATGCCTCCTATTGAAAAGGCCAGAAAGGTTTTAAAGCAGTTCTGCTTCCCCAGTGCCATGCTGCGGTCAGCAGCACAGGACCAAGGCTGGCACAGACAATGTTACAGTTTCAGAAAAAGGCAGGCCAGTGTTTCACACTATCTTTTAGTTTGGACACAGTCTCAGGGAGGTTTTTATGAGTTTTTCATTGCTTTGTCCTGCCCTTTGGAGGCTTCATTTGTTTGTTTTAGCTGGATTTTTAACCCATTTAAGACCATGGTAATGAGGGTTCTCATTTGCATTGCACAGAGAACTCAATTTCAGCTTTTAGAGATTGGGACGTGTTGGTGTGCAACACCTGCAGTGCTAGACCACACATATTTTGATTTGTTAAAGTATTAAGTATGTAGAGTTGGATCCAGTAGTTAGCTGCTGCTAGTAGCCTAAACTAAGTCACCAGATTCACCATATTTCAACACACACCACTGCAGTTCTGCCAAGAACTGTATCTTAACACAGTTGTTCCACTCATTCAACTAAAAATTCTTCAGTAACCGTGGAAGTAGAGACAACTGGGAATATTCTGTTTGTCAAGGCTTTATGCCCCACTAAGCAAATACCACATTCCAAATTTGCAGAATGTAGTTGGATGGATGAAAAGTTCTCCACTGCTTTCTTTCTTCATTTGTAGCCTGGAAGTCACTAAGCATTTGGTGGCCAACAACGCACACACAACAGGAAAACAAGGTACTAGATATAAAAACCAACAAACAAAATCAGTTTTGAAGATACAAGCTGCTCTTTCAGCTCTTAGAGTGTCTTTCCCTTCCAAAAATCAAAGATGGGAACTAGCAGCTAATTAAACCTTAAAAAAATGAATTTAAAAAAATGCATCACCTCTTGGCTTTAAATTTTTGCAGCCTCCACTGTTACAACTTTTTATCTGACTTTTTCCTCTCACAAGTATGTGCCCATGTACTAACCTGCCAAACACGCCAGCAAACACGCTGTCTTCAGGAAGAATCCATGGCCTCTCCACACAAGTACACCAGCTTTTTGGGAAGAAGGACAATTCTCTTTGGGAAGCAAAACTGAAGCCTTCTGTCAGAATCTGCAGACAGAGAGGAACACATAATTATAATGCTGGTAGAGCATCAAACAAGACTACTGAAGAAAGTATCACTAGTTCTCCTCTGGGCGTTTGTTTTCTATTTGATGAACCGGAACCTTGTCACAGGATAATGACTGCTGCTTTTCCCCCATTAAATTAAATAAAATATTTGATTGGAACTTTCTCTGCAGAGACAAAAACTGATGCAAAAAAAGCAGCAGGCGAATCATTTTCCCTTCTAGAAACTCTCAATGTAACTGCTAGACAAGGTACCTAGAGAAGAAACCATTCCCAATAAATGGGAGCTTGGGGAACAGGACTGATTTGTTTCAAAATGGAGAACAAAGTCTGGGTGATTTATTTCTTCGTAACAGAGCAGGCAGGGACTTCAGTTTTGTCCATACATACAGATGCAAATATTGTTTGATGCATGGCAGCTATTGCAACGACATTACTGCAGGAACGTTTAGGTTTGCTTCCAGATTCTGAAGGCTCAGAACACGTGACAAGGAAAGGTGTTTGGGGTTCACCTGGTCAACAAGCTGTGGCACTGAATAACCAAATATGAAAGTACTATGAGGTGGTCAAATATCCTATTTGTTACATATCAATTTGCCTATTCAGCAGAAGGTAGATGCCTTTTTCTGAAGTGATCTTTTTACCAGCTCATTAATCTACAATGCATCCAGCCAAAGCCAAAGCCTTCAGTCTACTTCAGCTGCAGTTCAGCCACACAAAGCTCATTGTGCTAAGAAATTTCAAAACTTCACATTCTGGCAGGAAAGAGGCATGCAGTACCACAGTATCACGAACCTCTCCCCTGTGTGACCTCTGACTTAGGCAGCAACTGCCTTCCTTCTGCATTAATTCATCCTATGGCAGTCTGTCCACAAGACATTTCTGCTCATGGATGTAAGACAAACTGGATACCCATGAGTTCTGAGAAGTCAGTGGTATCAGAAAGTTTTGTTTGCTTGTTTGTTTTTGGAAGGCTATACATTTAATTGCAAATTCACCTGCTGCTGCTGACTTGTTAGCAGTTACTCAGAGTTAATGTCTTTACCTCTAAACAAATAGGCACCAGAGCTTCACTTCATGCCTTGCATAACTAACTTTTGACAGATGTAAGAGTCATGGTCTCTGGCAAATCTACATCTAGTTTCAGTCCGTGGGCTCCAAACTACCTTTGGGCCAGGTGATGTTCCCTTTATAGAAAATTGCAGGGAACTGTAGGATGAACATAATGAAAAGCCCTTAAAGAGGTCAAGCATTCCAGCATGGACATCTTTTCAGTTTGAGCACGAAGTTAAGAACAAGACTCCCTGAAGGAAGGAAAAGATTTTCCCAGTCGTTTTTGAGAGTCTTGTCACTTTGAATGTCCCCAGCAACACCGCTGATCTGAAAGTACATCTGAAAGCCCACAGCTAAAATCTTCACTAGTTAACTACCATAATTATCAAATTCTGTTGCACAGAAAACACAGCGCGAGACGTTTATGAAGCCTCCATTCTGTGGCGAAAGACAGAAGTTAGATTTCACACGCGTTGTTCCCTAGTGTTGCTCTGGGAAGAAAAGGGTCAGATCTTGGGGTAAAATCTCTGGTTAGCATTCATCTTTATCCCTTGATTTGACACTGTAAAAATCAATATTTCATAGCAGTTATTGTCTAGATTTTGAATGCATACAGGCTGAAACCACATGCTAAGAGCTGAGCAATTCCACATCCTTTGTCTCAGATATCCTAAGAAAAAAAAATCCTCTATTCCAGTTATTGTCTAGCATTTGAATTCAGTGTTGGCAAACCGGTCCCTGCATGTCTTTGAGGCATATGGAAATTGATGATGAAGGTGTCTAGTATAACCAGAAGTATAATTTGATGAAAACTGAAGCAGTGAACTGTGAGAAACTGCTAAATCAGTGTCATCAAACTCTGCTTGAAAAATAATGAAACAGAAATACTTCTAGGACATGAGAAATGCAGGGCAAGGACTGTGAAACCAGAGGCTAAATGCAGAAACTAAGGAAATGTACAGGAAGTTATTTTCATTGTTATTTTTGAAACGCATCCCCAAAATACAGCCAAACATTCCTGTTTTCATTCACTTCATGGAGACGGTGACATCGTGTCTCCCCCAAATTATTCAAGCCCAAATGCTGGCACAAGCTCTTCCAATAGCATACCATGTTTGGCCCTGGCGTTTCTCACCTGCCTACCCGTAACCATGTGCAGAATAAGAACAGCACTGCAGCCAGTGCAAATCCTAGTAATCTCTTGGGGCAACAGGAAAAGACCGAAATAGAAAACATACTACAGTTTTAAAGCGATAATATTGCTAAGGAAAAGAAAAGAAATGTAACCTCAGAAGTAAGATGGCATTTCTTCCCCAAAATTCAACAATTCCTGAAGCTGTAAAAGTACTCTACAAATAAAGACCTGAAGATGGCAGTGAAAAGATCCTGATATTGCTTTATTCATACGATTTTGATTGAAAATCAGACAAACTTACACTGAAATCTGGAAAAAAGGAGGACAAGGGAAGAAAACAAATGTTTTCTTGACTTGATAAGATGGGTAAATACACTTGAATTACTGAAAAGAAAAAAAAACACAAACAAAAGAGCCAACAACCATCAATAAAGATTCCATTCAGTTGTACCCATGTTTTGAGACAGGAACACATGTATGCTTAAGAAAGTGATATAAGCTTGCATATTCAAAGACGTGCCAGAAAATTTGTACGAAAAGATCACAGAGAGACAGAGACAGCTGGAAAAATTGGAGCAAGGGCTCTAATTTTCATGCCAGTGTTACACCTAATGCAAAGGGAATGCAGATAGATGATAGACTGCAAGCTCTATATTATTCCTCCTGCCACTCTAGAGAGTGCTTGTAGAGCTGGACAAGAATCAGGAAGTAACAGAAATTGAAAAACAAACAAACAAACAAAGGAGACCCAGAAATAATAGAAAGTGTGCTATTGTAAAAGAAAATGTTTGTGTCCAAATATTTATTACAGCCATAGCAAGGTCTCTACGTGCCAAAGGCAACATCAACATTAACGCAGCTGTGGATACCAAGTGCTGATTGCTTTAAAGTGTGCTCTGATTTGAAAATGGAGCTACACCTACAGTCTCGCCATGGCACGCACGCAGCAGAAAACATGAAATGGAAAAGAGCCATAAGCAAGCATCTCTGGAAGGTCCTACATCAAACTTTAAAAGAATGATAATGAGGTCCTTCTGCATGCACATGGATATATCCAGATTAATTATCAACAAGCCTAATTAGAAAGTTGTGTTAATAAATATCAAGAAGGCTTCCGTCTATTAGGGGATATACAGATAGGAGGCTTAGTAGAAAAAGTGTAAATGACATCATGAGAGGATTTTCTGGTAATACATTAAGTTTATAAAGTAATCTAGGCATGATTTCCGTCAGTTTTGATATCATCCTTTCCCATGAGGTGATCTCAAAATCTGCATGTTAAAAAGTCACTTTCACTGTCAGTTACTGTTAATCCAATCTATGGACTTCAGGAGACTTCTGTCAGAGCTTATACTTTATTCCCCTCTGACTTGCTAGACAAAATTCTATCTTTTGTGATGTCATTACTGCAAATTCACAACTGTGATTTGAAAGATCCCTTCTAAAAGAAAAACGTATATTTTTTTTACATCATTATATATCTCACTCAAAATGTAACCAGGGTACCTCTTCGTCCATCCGAATTCCCACTGGTCCTTCTTGTGCTCTCTGATCTGCTCACACCATAGCCTTTGACAGTGGCTGAGAGAAGCAGAGTCCCAGTGTCAGTGTGCAGCACCCTCACTGTCACAACAGCCCATCCATTGAGATGTGCCACCTCTGGAAAAGGGAAGTGAAAAGAAAACCAAAATTAAAATACAGAAATAGCAGAGCAAAAGACAAAGGAAGAAGTAAGGATTTAGACACCAGCTTTCCGCAAGGCCTGTGGCAGGCACAGTATGGGCCAGACCTACAAAACTCTGTAGCTTTTAAGTCAAATCTGGACAGATGACTTCCTGAGATTAGCTCATGTCTCCGCCAAGATGCAAGATAAACTAACAGTCAGACAACGACCATTCAGAATCAGTTGTTAACCTTAAGAAGGTAAAATTCCAGAATAAACATGAACAAGTATATACTTGAGCTTCTGCTCAAGCTTCAGACTGAGGCTTTACTTTGTGTTACTGGATCAGACAGCAGAAGCTATAGAATCATCTTCATTCTATGGGAGTCCTTGGCTTTAGCTCTTGCTAAAGTGGTGTAGTTGGAAAATGCTTTGTCCTGCTCTGACACCAGACTCATATCTGAGATGAGACATTTGTTATTGATAGAACAATTTCTCTAAGTATACCTGATTTTTAGTCAGCTATTTCAGATGCAGCAAAGTTTACTAAACTGTACCACCTCACACCTTGCTGGCTTTTTTTTTCAATAATGCTTATTATTCTTTCAAATTTAGTTTATCCTACAGCACAGTTGAAGGCTTAAAATGAAAATCTGCCATATATACAAGTTCTTCAATGACTAAACTATTCTTCTGGTCGTGGGTTCTCTATTATAATTCAGAAGAAGAGAAAAGAAAGAGGTTATCGTTATCAGTCCATACTTTAATGCTTTCAGTTCCAAATCTGAATAACTGCACACACTCATGTGATTTCAAAGCATTCTCTCATCTGATGGATTTTCACCCGTGTGCTCTTTTCCCATGTTTGTCGGGTCAGAACACCAGTTACCTGCATTCAATACTGCCAAATTAACAAAGCAAAAATCAATGCTTAAAGACCACAAGCCGCAAGACTGCCAGACTGCAAGCTGCTGCTACTTTATTCTTAAATTTTGTTGTTGCTACACAGTTGCAAGAACGCCTATACTGTTATATCAGAATGTGTGCATGTGCCATGTCTGTACCTGCGTGGCAGTGCTGCTGCAGGATCTCAGGCCCCTGCCTTCCACTCAGCCAGCAGGCACCAGGAGCCACTGGTGGAAGGGAACCCTAAGGCTCTAGAGCTATTCACGGGTTGCCATCAAAAATCTATTTCTGCATGTGATTCACAGGAAAAGAGGCTCTCAAAATCTTCTAAGTCTGGATTTTAAAGTGGAAGGAACAGAAAAACAACACACTCAAACCATTGTAAGAAGTGATCTGACAGCTAGTGTCTTAAAATACCCCATGTACAGAACCACAGAATGACTTGGATTGCAAGGGGCATAAACCCCCAACCCTCCTGCCATGGGCTGGTTGCCACCCACCAGATCAGGCTGCCCAGGGCCCCATCCAGCCTGGCCTTGAATGCTTCCAGGCATAGGGCTTTGAGAAAGCTGTATTTGCTTCATGCCTAGTGCCTGAAAAGCATCCCTCCCAGTGTCATCATCTTCCCATCACAAACCAGCACTTAACCTCAGACTTCCTTCCGCCTACCAAAAATCACTGTTTTCAGAGACAATCTGGGGTTTGCAAGGAATGCAAGATTAGCTTCCTTTCAGATGCTTGCTCAATATTTAAATCCTGCTCCCACTGAAAAAGACATAGGTCTTAATGGTAGTTTTAATGGAAATGAGATCAAGCTGCAAACTTACAAGCTGGAACCCATTAGACTTTGTTTTAGCTTGGAATTTTCTGCACAAAAAAGGTCACTTCAAAAGCAAACCCAAATGTAATGTACTTGCAATTTAAGGCTCTGTAACAGAGAGACAGCAGAGGTGTTCAAGGCCAGGTTGGATGGGGCTCTGGGCAGCCTGGGCTGGTGTTAAATGTGGAGGTTGCTGGCCCTGCCTGCAACAGAGGGATTGGAGATTCATGATCCTTCAGGTCCCTTCCAACCCAACCATTCTGTGATTCTGTGTTGCACTGTAACAGAGGATGTTGACAACAGTGGCACTCAGGCTGGATAAAGGTATACAGATTCTCTTTTAAATCAGAGCTGGTGCTGAATTAGTAGTTCCTATCTGTGAGTTAAATTCTACTACCTTGCAATGATTTATGCTGTTTGCTCCAGAAGCCATGAAGCTTCAGGAATGTATATACGATATTTGCTAAACTCCACACACCAGTTTGAACCTACAGACATCAGGGCCATACAGAATCACAGCCAGCAGTTTATTGGTGCACAGCTTCCTTTACTGAAGCCAGGGGCTGCATGTTCCGTTTTGAGAAAAAGAATTATGAAGCAATGGGCCCAGATACGTTTTATTAACAGAAGTCTCTTTTTCTGATAACCTACTTGTCACTATTCTTAATTTTATCTCTCCTATCATCTATTTTGTGCAGAAGACACTTTTAAAATACTTACACTGAAAATGAATATTAGAAAATCCTATATTGCGTGTTACCTGTCAGAGGTCATCAGCAGCTGCATTTCAAGAAAACTGAAGGCATTAGATAGAGTGTGCCCAGTAGATTAATACAGAGCTGTGAACTTTCATCCTCTGCAGCAAGATTTCCATCCAACTGACACAGAACTGACACACAGTAACACTTACAACCAGGGGGATCCAATTTAGATGGAGTTCAAATGGTTTCAAGCTACTCATAGGTCACAGAGGTAAAGTATGCATAAGAGAGCTGGCTTTAATCAGCATGTTTTCAGTAATGTCACACCAGAAGTGTTAGGCCACACTGAAAATGAACTGGATGTTAGGCTTGAGAATTACATTACCAAATACACTTACATAGTCTGAATATATTCTTTAGGGTATTTTCTCATGCCAAAAATGCTGGAATTTTTTGCAGGATAATAAAAAAAGACAGAGTTTCACATTAGCATGGAAAACCACCTTTTCTATGTGGCGTCGTATCCGTAACATCAACTTGCAAACTTCTGGGGAAGAAACAGTCCAAACCAAAACCTAAACACTTCAATGAGGTGACGATTTGGAAATGCATATCCAAAGACTCATCTTATTTCTCCATAATGGAGTAGTAGAATACAGGAAATCTGAAAGGGAGAGCAAGTATTACAGCGAGGAGGACAACTCAGCAAAGGCCAATCTTAACGCGGTCATCAAATGCTGACTACTCGTGAATCAGGCAGGTGGCTTCTCCTTTTAACATTTCATACTGAAGAACAATGTGAAAATGAGAGGACTTATTGGAAGACATGTCATTGAAAGAGAAAATGTAACTCCCTTGAGAGAGTTTTAAAGGCCGCATTCCACCCAGAAAACCCCAATCTGTCAGGCTTTCTTATTTCAAGCTTCCCTGATCGTTTTGGTTGTGTCCAAAGCAGTACTGTGCTCTCCTTTCCAGGCAGATAGGCTGAGCTGCATTCTCGTGCCATTCAAGAAGTAAACTGGGAAACAGCTTACAACATAACAGAAAGTGTCATCTGTTTGGCACGGTCTGGTTTGCACTGCGTTTAAGAGCTGCTCTGCAGAAATAAAAAGCAGCTACCGCATAAAGCCTAGCAGACAAGCCATGCTAGGTTGCTGAAGATTTTCACTGAGTTTTGCTAGGAAAAAGATTAAAAACCCTTCCTGTTGTGCCAGTCTATAGTATCGTCTCTGCAAAAATTCTGCTCAGTACCATGAAGAGAAGGAGGATCTCCATCTGTGAGCAGACGAAGAAGTGTGCTGCTAGCAATCAGTGCTGGATCTCATGTCGCGTTACAGCAAGCAGCTCAGCTCTGGTCAGCAAAGCAGAAACAAGGAAGCTGACAGAGTGGGGTACAGCGTTTTGTTAGTGAATATTCATCCAGACGTGGATCACATCCAACAAAAACGCTTGTATCGTCTGTTTACCTCCCTGCGCCCTACACTGATGATCGAACACGCACAGACAGAAAAGAAAAATGGAGAATTCATAAACGTGCGTTTTCTTAGAACAGGATAAATTAGGGTTTGTTGAGTTCCTTACAACTAGAAGCAAGATTGTTTCCAGTACCTGGCTTGCTCACGTACACTCTCTCAGGTGCCCCTTCACTGAACTAATCTAAGCACAGGACCAGCTAGAGCGTTCCCAGCTACGTTAGTGAAACAAATGCCTCATTTTTTTTCCTCCAATTGGGATGCTTTTAAAGACCTCTCCACCACAACTTTGGTGGTTTTGTTGTTCATTTTTTTGTTGGTTTTGTTTTGTTTTGTTTTTGGTTTTGGTTTTTTTTGCCTTTTGAAACAAAGACTGATGGCATTTAAAATGGAATTAAATATTTTTCATAACACAGCTGTATAAGGTTTATTTAAACTTTTGCCAAGATTCCTCGTATGCTCTTATAACAACTGCAGTCTTCCTTTCATGTTTTTAATTTTTAGTTTCCATATTTCAATAAAACATAAGTTGCTGAACGATCCCTAAGCTGTGTATTCCAGCCCATTGCTTCATTAGAACCTTGGGCACATTTTAACCTCCATCTTCTGGACTTCTTTTCAGAATGTAGGCAGCAGACTAGCATTAGATTTTAGCTCCTGCCTCCACCTTGCTTCCCTGAAGTAACACTGCCATTAAAATTCTGTCCAAAGGAGGATCTCTTACCTTCTTCCACTCATCATGAGTTTTATTAGCTCTCTCCTTACAAATGCAAAAATCCCACTGCAACTGGAGAACCCGTCAGATCAGCACATCTTCCTAACCAGAAGACAGGGGAAACATCTGTACTTCTCGTCCTCATTGGACAGTATTTATTTTAACTTAGTGAAATAGGGAAAGATATTGTTAGGATGCATCTCAGACCAGGCAAATAGGAAATAGGAAACATATTTAGCTGCACTCTTGAAATCTTTACGGGTGGAATGCCCTTATGTGGCAACAAAAGAGGTTTCCTTCAATCTTCAGCTAAGTGACTCCATCCTTCCGTGCTTGTTAATGATCTGGCTTCAGTTATTTGCCTCTCCTACCAGTGCAGTAC